AAGAAACTTTATTATAAATGTACAACGTTTCGACAAGCTTATGTCATCATCAGGTACAAGTAGTTTACAAGTAGCGAAAGAAACTTTATTATAAATGTACAACGTTTCGACAAGCTTATGTCATCATCAGGTACAAGTAGTTTACAAGTAGCGAAAGAAACTTTATTATAAATGTACAACGTTTCGACAAGCTTATGTCATCATCAGGTACAAGTAGTTTACATAGACACAAGAATATAAATACAGTGTAGAACAAAGAGGCCACATGACCGGAGATTGCTTAACAGCTTAGTAAAAGTAACTTGGTACCCTGAGGTGTTGGCTTAGGGTAGGGTTGTTTTGTTCAATTAAGACAGATGGTTTCCTTTATTTTGTGTTTATCGATGTTTGTTCTTTGTTTAAAATTACAGTGTTTTATATAGATATACTATGTTTTGTTTTTAGTTGCAATAGTGGTAAACATGGGAGGGTATTTTATTATGTTCGGTGAATCTGGTTTTCAATTTACTTCCGGTTTCTCCGAAGTGGAATTATGGACAGTTATTGCACTTTATTTTATAAGTGACGTTGGTATTGTGTGATTCTATGTAATTTTTATTTAGTAATTACTTTAGTTTAGAGCCGGGTTTTTGAGTGAATGTGAAGTTAAAAGGTGTTTTATATTTAATGGCAAATCTTCAAATAAAAATTATTTTTCAGCTGATTTCAGGGATGAATGGTAAACTGCAGTGTTGTTTGGTGTCAATTTTGTTGGTGAGTTGAGTTTTGGTATTTTATTTTATTTTTCTGGTGATTGTTTGACATTTTTTCGACAATAGCTGGTGGAAATGTGTTAGTGTGAATTAAGGATTGCTTTATAAAGTTCATTTCTTCATCTACGTAGTGAGTTGAGCAAAGTCTTGAAGCTGTGCTTATAGGTATTTTTAAAATATTGGTTTTTTCTTCCTGGGAGAGATTTCAGAGGTGTAGAGGCCTGTGTGATTTTGAATATAGTAAAGTACATAACAATGATATTATGGTTGAAACCATTAGAAACTTTGTATTGTCAGTTTCGGTTTGTGTTTTAGTGAACGCTCCTGAAGAAGCTGTAAAGCAAAACGTCGAATGTCTAATTAAATAAAAACAAAATTTTAATGTTATGACGTCGTTTATTTCTAGTATTGATATATCTTCTATACACCAATATGCACCACAGAAATTAAATAATGAAGTTTCTTCTTCTTTCTTTCTTTTCTTCTTCCAAACAGTTTTCAATCGACCTTCATTCCTTCATTTCTGGGCAGATTGACTTAAACTTTGGTAAGATTATACCTTGGTCCAGGACGCTCACATCTCTTTTTTTATTTTATTTATGCCTTTCTAAGACTTTTATGGAGTCAAAAGTAAAACAACCCTAAAATGAATATTTTTGGTTCCCGTGCGGACATATTTACAGCAATCAAGATACATAAATATAAATGTTCGTGCGTCCAACCCATTGACACATGAATAAGTTGGATTTGCGCATTTGAAATTTTTTTACGGGGGGTGGGGGTGAGTCAGAGCTCACAACAAAAGCATAATTTTTGAGATTTTGGTCAGTTACTCGCCGTATTTTGACCAATTTATATGAGATTTGATACAAAGGTGCGTTTCTACAGGTTCCACACATCGGCACACAAAAATGCTGGATTTGCCCATTTTTAGTAATTACAGGTGGGTCAATATTCCCCCGAAAAATTTTTTTTAGGATTTTTCGACAATTACCCCGCTATATTTCGGCTACCTTACATGGTATGTGGTACAAAACCCTTTTAATTTACAGGTCCCAAACTGAGATATAGATAATTTTAGAATTTATATCTTTTCCTCAATTTTTCAACGATGAAAGCACAATTTCAGATTTTCGTGAACTATTCACGTGTATGTCATCCAACTTACATGGGATTTGGAACAAAGATACCTTCATGCAGATCCCAAGTAGTGATATAGACAGGTTTTTATTTTTCTGTGTTTTTCACGATTTTCCTGGTGTCAAAATTAGCTATGTTGGGATTGCGTGACGGAGACATGTTGCATTCATTCGCGAATGTTGGCCTATTTAATTATTTTGTGAAACCATTATTAGAGATTAGGAGACATTTTAATTTGAAAAAATCAGGGTGTGAGTTTATTACGTTACTGTAAATTGAAAAATTCACATTGCAACTATTTTTTATGAACCACCAAGTAACACTATAGTGACAAGATTGCTTAATATTGATTGTCCCATAGTTTTAGTTTGGGAAAATGTAGCCTAAACAAAAGCTCCTGAAATAAATGAAGACGAAGCTAATGTTTAGCTTCTTGTGTTTAGCGAGATGGGTTAATACCACTTATTTAATTCATAGAAACCAAACTGCGCTTCATTGAAACAGTATTTCACTTAAATACCTCTGGTCACTTGTTTCTGTTGTTTGTTTGCAATTAAGCGCAAAGCTACACAATGGGCTATCTCTGCTCTGCCCACCACGGGTATCAAAACCTGGTTTTTAGCGGTAAGTCCGAAGACATACCACTGTTCGACTGGAAGGGGGACCTCCAGTCATACAGAGTTTTGAATATAAACATAGAAATGTACTCATAATTATAAATTTTTTATGGCTAATTTTAAACAGTTGTTAAAGAGTAACTTGAACAGGATCAACAATACGAACTGTTTTTTTTAGATTAATTTTCTTAAACTCTTCTTTTAAATTGAATTCGCTGTTAGACTAATAATAGCACTTATTTTATTACTTTTAGCTTCTGATCAAACATCAGCTAACTGTATAGATCAGAACTAAAAAGTGACCAGTTGGATTAGTGATATTTTTAACCAAAATAGGTTGGATGTTACTTTACATCAACGTGGTTTAACTAGCAGCTAGCAGCCTATCTCAGCAGTGTTTATTGGTTTTATGAATTCATGATGAATCACATATGACATTCCTAGAGTGAGCAGTAAATGAAATACTTACAGACAATGTCTGATAAAAAATTCACATTCGTAAAAAAGTTATTGTTCTTCATGTTTCTATCTATACAACCTGTCCCTTCCTATTTGACGGACTGAGTCACCCAGATCTATACTGTTGAAGGGATGATAAGTGAATTTCAGTAATTAACAGGTATTCACTATGCCATATGAGGTTTGGTAATTTTCAACTTAAACGGCGCTTTATGCGACACAAGAGCTAAACGGACATGTTCATAACCCTAAGGTTAAGGCATAACCGCTCATAATTTATAACTGCTGACAAGAGGGAGAGAAATCAGTCAGTAGCACCTGCCGTCTGGATAACTGCTCTTAAACAAAATTCAACGTCACTTTTACAACTCACCAATAGCTGTAAATATGGAGCACGCTCAGTGGCATATCGTGGGCTCTAACTTCGAATCCTCAGCTGGGCATGTTAACCATTAGTCTAACATGGCTTGGCCGAACTTACGAACGGACAGTAGTGAACTGGTGTAAACCAAAACAACCCAGCGTCTGTTGCAATATTAAATTATGTCAATGAGTTTTCTATAGCTAAAATTGTTTCTAAATGACAATAAATGGATACATTATTTGTTTACACTAATTCATTCTTTACAATTTAATTATATACTCAAAGTCCAGTTTAATAACCTTACCACTTCTTGGTTAATCATTCAGTATTTTATTGTTTCCAAAACACTTGTAGACTGAACAATACATCAGACATATCCAATTTCAACAAATACCATTACGTTATTGATAACATTGAATCATTTTCATTATTTTAGAAAATCTAACAAGCAGAATAGTTTTGAAAAACAAAATATCATAGCTACTATAAACTGTTATACTCAGATGAGATTTCGCAGGTTAGCTTATTCCATGATTGATTGTAATCTGACATTTACGTACCCTTCCATGGATAGGAATAACCCATGTCCATGTACGAATTAGAAAACTCTTTCAAGGCTTTTTCGGGTTTATTTGGGCTGAGTTCCCCACCAAACATCGAAAATGGAGCATATAAAGGGTACCATTTGAACTTGTCCGATTCCATGTAGTTCTTGACGGCTGGCAATTCTTCGAATCGAGTCAAGTACTGTTTGAGGTTAGGGTACTCCTTTAGACAGTCTGGCTCAAAGAGTCGCTGGTGATCCAAAGTCTCATAACCAATGAAGTCCACGTAGGTCAGTCTGTCCCCAATTAGCCACTGTCCAGAACCTAAGAACTGTGACAACAGTTTCAGTTGTTCAGATAGACGTTCCACGTAGTTCTTTCTCAAGTTTTTGTAATCTTCAGGTGAAACATAACAGGTTCTTATCAGGCCCCATCTCATGTCATTCAGCTGCTGTTCCAACAAATCAGTACGAATTCGCTCCTCTTCTGTCTTAGCGTCTAGATTCGTTTGGCGAGCTAAATATCTCATAATGGCTAAACTCTGGGTCAGTTTGATGTCGCCATCGATGTAGTAGGGAAGGTTAGGAAATTCTAGTCCTAAAGACAGTCTTTCTTTTAACCAGTCGTCAAGACTCCAGTCGGGCGGACCGCCAGGGGTATACCGCTTTTCTTCGAAGTCTATTCCCAAGTATGCCAACATGAAGCGAATAGGTTCGCATACACCGCGAGCATCCCAATACCCTAACACTGGTGACATGACTCGTCGTAGTCTCGAAACTCTGAACGTCTGTGTATAGTTCAGCTTTTCTGCTGTAATAGACATCACGAGGTTGCCATGCTGGCTTCGTGACAGACCTTTCTTATTGGCTTACGCTTTCTCGTTTGTTTTATTATTATTGTTTTTGCTGTTCTATAGTCACACAAGATTACTGGAGAAGATCGTGCTCTACAAATCATGTCTAAATACGATTTATATACACAGAAATATTTTTGTGATGGTTGGAATGAGTCTCTCCAGAAATGACTCATATTTCATTTGAATTTTTTGAAATTATATAAAACAAAAAAGTTCTTTTATTAAAGAGAAATTCTGTGTATAAAAAAATCAGTTCTAATTATACTTCAAAATATTATGCTATGGTGTGTTATTAACGTCTTCAATCTTTCATGAGGTAGTTCTGAAAAATATTCCTGGTGAAATATTTAATTTCAGGTTTATAGGACAACCACTAGGTGGGCATAAATTTGTCTGAGGTAAAATAATCATAATTTAAGTTTCTGTCCTATTTGGTCAAGATTTCGTGAGTGGTTCTGTTTACTTCTTTGTTTCATGCTGAATTTAACATTTTTTATGTGCTAATCAACACATGTGGTTAAATCAGTTTATGCAATGTGCACAACTTTTTGCTTGGTGATCACTTGAGTAGTTTCATTGTTCGTTTACCTTTGAAGTTATACTTGAAGGAACTTAAATCAAGCTATTGAAAATAGAGAATTTTAGATTTGAACTGCTTAGATGTTTGCACACTTATGAACAAAATAACCTTATTTTCTAAGTGTAAAAAAATGCAGGGGTAGAACTGTCAAAATCGTATAAAATAGTTTATACATTAATAAAACTTTGTCAATGTTTTGACGAAATAATCTTTCAATTTGGGTTTCAACAATTTTTATTTTTGATTAAGAAATTACGTAAAAAGCTAAATCTAAGTAAACCCATTTTTAATCTCTGTTACTAATTCTATTACAGAGATGTCGATGTAACTCTTTGATTTTATCATGTGTCAGTTTCATTTATTTATTTCATTCTGTGTTTTATTTATAGTAAGCATACTTTAGGGCGTAGTTGTGTTCCATTACCGATGTTATTCGTTACTTAAAAACTTAGTTCTTATCTGGATTATGCATTTATTAATACCTTAGTTCTTACTTAATTATACGGATAAGAATGTCTTTATAACAGTAGTATGACTTACGTGTTGTTCTTAACGTTACAATGAGCAGCTATTATTATCACAAGACAAAAAAGTACATTTCTTTCCCTGTAGCTTATATTCGTATATTGTAATTATAATTTTGCATCCAAACTGGATTAGGTCTAGACTAGAACCAATCCAATTTGGATGCGACATTACGTAATGAATGGTACAGCAATGAGAGAGACGAATTTAGGTAATCAAACTGAACATTATTAATATATTATAGGCTATAATAGACATAGGTAGATAGGAAGACATTTTCTGAAAGAATGATTGTGTTCTGGTTATTAAACATACAACTTTATAAATTTTCTCGATGGCAAAGCTGCATAAGTGGTTATCTATACATTCTGTCCACTGCGGAAAATTGAACCCCGGATTTAAGTGTTGTAGGTCCATAAACTTACCACTTACCCACCAGGGAACCTCGGTTGGATGATATAGAAAACTCACGTTGTATTTCTTTTTTATTACTTAATCATTTAACGTTATACGTAATACGCTATTAATATTCATGACACTATGTGCATTAAGATTATTGTTTGATTAAAATAACAAACTAAAAAGCAATTTTTTTACGAAAACAGCCACATATAAATCGATCAATTTAGATTTTATATTTTAACACTTTAAACTTACATTATATAGGTAAAGTATGGTCTACTTCTAACATTTGTATAGGTTCTCTATTTAAATTTCCCAAAAATATTTTATTGACCGATTGAATTTTCATTGAATTATTTTAATACAGTATAATATGTTAAGCGCTATTTTTTTATGTGAACAGCTTGATGATGTCCATCGAATGGTTAGATAAAAACCTCAGTAAACGGAACAAACCGTTAGAAATCTTGATATTAGAAAAACTGGTTTCACATATTCTGTGTCCTCTTCAGTCAGTCTCGCGTTGTTATCTGTCAGGAAAACTGACCTATAATATCTACGTGACCCCGAAACTTCAAATTCCTCTAAGGTCACAAGAGGTTAGGAAGCTGTTTAACTTAAAGTGACCTTGGAAAATATTGAAATTAAGTAGACTTTTGACTAAGGACTAAGGTTTTAAAGTTTCTTCATTTTTCTGAAATCACCAGTTTTACATGAAATTCTTGTTGATTTCCAATCGATTCGATGGCCATAATCTCTTATATGAAGATAGAGAAAAATAGCATTATTTTAATTTCCACATTTAATGTCCTTTCTTATGTGCATTTTTTTAAACGAAAAAAGTTTATTCTGTGAACTCGCTAAATTGTCAAGAAAAGTAATATTTGTAGTGCTTTTTTGGTCCTCTTTGAAGTTTTGTAAATTAACATAATAACATGAATTAAAGGACTAATAGAAGCACAATTTAAAGGGCTAAAGAGTAAATACATTTTTATGATTTTATTCTAATCTGTAGATAGTGGCTACTGCGTATTTGGTGAAATAGATAGCTTAATTTCTTTGTTACCACCCAAAACTTTATAACTGCTCGTATTCTGACTGGATTTTATTTGTGTGTTTTTAATTAATGTTAGTGCATTTCACGATTGTCGGTATGTTGCATCAACTAAATTGTTTTCCAAAGTAATGAGTGAACATGTTTTATTATTTTTGATGACATTTTATTATTTTAATGATATGTTACTCTCCAAAGACGTCATTTATACTGTGGTTTTCATTGGATTAATAATTTTGTTTTAACTTACTTTTTCGTCAACGTTACATGAATGGTGATGCGAATTATAATTGTGCTGGCTTTGTCATTTGGATATGATAATTTACGGTAGGCATGGTGGGAGTTGTAAGTGGATAGATTAACGAATACATTGTGGAATCAATACGTATACACGTGACTTGTGTCGCTTTTTCTGACGGATATCTTTCCTGATTATGTTGGGTACTGTTGCCTGGGGCACGTGGACAGCTTATGCCACTGGTCTCTGTGTTCGTAGAACCTGACCGGTTAAAAGACGCCACAATCTGCTTACCACGGCTAGGGCACGACTTATTGCAGGTCTCTTTCTAAATGGTCCTAGTTTCTCAAGTTATTCCATATTTCTTTGTTTACCAATTTCATTAAGTGCAAGGAATATTCTTGTCTTAGAAACTAGAAATTTCCGATCTGAACACAACTACACCTTTTTGATCTGAATGTATGAATATTTTGCAATAGAAACGGCTGTTACATGCGAATATTTCTGTCTTGAAAATTAGAAAACCCCGATCCGAACATATCTTTAAGGTCTTAATGTACAAATATTTTGCGTCAGAAACGGTAGCTTTGATATATCCAATTTTACTGCGACTTTATATCGGCTGTGTTTGTCATGTGACTGGCTTGTATACATATTCAAAACCGTTTTAATATAAAGTACTCAACCATCTGAATATTTTTCCAACCTTTTTAATGGTCTATTGTTTTTGTAATTGAATAAAATCCGTAATACTAATATTGTTTCGAAACTTTTCTATAACTTTGGTTATTGTAAGAACATAGCGCTTTTCTTCGAAGTATGTTCCCAAGTATGTCAACACGCGAACATTCCAACACCCTAGCACTGGCGACATGACTTCTTCATTCGTGATCTCGAAACTCCCAACGTTTATGTACAGCTCAGCTCGTATTTTTTAATAGTCAGTTATCACGAACATGCCACATTGGCTTGATGATAAAGCCTTCTTATTGGTTCACGTTTTCTCGTTTTATTGGTATATGATTTACAGTTACATGAGATTAGTGGAGAAAAATATGATCTGCAAATCATGTCTAAATATGAGTTATCTATATTAAAATGTTTTTGTTCTGGTTGAAATGATTCACTACCACAGGTATTCATATTTTGTTTTAAAGTTTTTGAATTATGTGTACTTTATGAAATATTGATTCTGCTCAACGTACTATTCAGACCATTTTCTAAATTACACTCAAATCTCTTTGATGTCTTGAAACAGCATATATGTCTCCATCTTGTGGACACTGTTGAAACTAGGTCAATCAAACTCTAGTTACTAAAATAATAAACATCCTTAGATACTCAACGAGACAACTCGGACTCTAGCATTCATACCATTTTAGATGATCAAGTGTCACCATCGTTCACGAACTACCACGAACAAATAACTAACGATGGTAAAGGCCCTGTGATGAAACATGTCACTCTAGGCCTGTTCTAGGTACATCACACTGGAAAGTCTTTCTATGATACGTCGTCTTTAATCTGAGTAAAAACGTCGAAAAATAAAGCTAAACATCATCCATATTCATTAGTTTTATCCCCATTAGTTAAGTAAATATTTTTTATATTTACAAAGTGGCTGTTTATTATAAAAAAGTTGAGCGTTCCCACTCACATGTCTTTGTATTTAGCTGGAGTAAAAAAATGAAACCTTTATTACAAAGCAGAAGTATCAGAAGTATTGAATTTTTCCATCCTTTTGTTGTATTTTGTTGTAGTGTTGCTGTGAACCATACAGTCAGCACCCAAATCAAAATTTGGTTAAGTTTAAGCTATAGATAAGTTATATGAAGCAAAACTGACTTTCACATTAAATAAACGATTTTCAATTTATGTGAAGTTGAACAGGTTAAACTGAAAATATTTATACGTCTTTTACTAAGTTTAATGATTGATTGCACAATCTTTTCCTTGACGAGGTATAAATTATTTATCGTAATTTATCTTGTTTTTAAATATTGTGGTCACAGAGGCTTTGTGGAAAGTCACTTGAAATATCAGATGTTCACTATCATTAAGAGCATTTCGTATATACTTGTGCAAATCAACAGCTTGTTAAGTTACGATAATTATTTCCCTAAGAATACTTTTAAAATTTGGGTTATAACACAAAGATTTTAAAAGTTATAAACGTCGCATGA